ACATGTTTTTAACCTACTTCACTTGTAGACATGATGGTTTTGAGTGGGGAAAAGAATATCCGTTTTGCGACTACAGTTGCCAGAGTAGGTTTTGACACATTGAGTAGCTCAATGATTTTGCTGATGAAGAAACCACTCCACTTGTCCGATCGCTCGTTTTCACGAAACCTAGTGGACAATAGGTAATCGAGTGTGCTGAATCCGAATATCATAGTGGTTTGGGCGTCTAGGCCTCCAAAGATCGGTTTTCTGGAAAAGCAGTTTTCAGAAACTCTAAAAGATAACCAAAACTTTTCTTAATGAGACATAATTATAGCCCGCACATTTCTGATTAAAATGAGACATCTTCCAGCTCTACACAACCTTTCTTTGCAAAGTTAGAGAATTTACAAGAAAAGCCCTAAATTACTTTCTTTTTATTTCTGTAGCTCTGAGCTGACAATGAACATTCAGGGCTCTTCTTATAAATTCTCTAAGTTTGCAAAGAAAAGTTGTGTAAAGCTGGGAGATATCTCATTTTAATCAGAAATGTGCGGGCTACAATTATGCCTTATTAAGAAAAGTTTTGGTTATCTTTTAGAGTTTCTAAAAACTGCTTTTCCAGAAAATCAGGAAGAAAACCGGGAAGGCACTAAGATATAAGTAACTCGCTCAAAGTTACAACATGAAAAATCTCTATCCGAGGGCTCGAAATAGAAGCCATTCCGACTCTCAAAAGATGTTTCTGTCCCTCAACCATAACTTTGTTGTTCTTATTTTGTAGTGATTGTGGTAGAGACTTCAGCCTTACAGGTCAAGTTTTTGTGATCAAAATGCTGCTTCGGCGAAGAGCTGCCCCTTCGCTATGCTATCTCTAGAAAATTCAAACAATAGAAGATGGAGAAACACTTTGTAATTCATCGAGATCTATTCGCGCTGAAAAAATCACGGCGTTACCATAAGTAGTTTTCTATATCCAGTTAGTTTGTTGTTTTGACGAACTCCAGCAGTTAGTTATATCCAGAAAATGGGGTTCCTTTAAGCCGCATTTACTTGTGAGTGTTTATTCACATACGAACGTGAATGTGCTGTTATACCGGTTTTACATCATCAAAAGGACAATTTTTTCCAGATGCTCGAATCATATTTATACTGATTGTATCCATAATTACATATAGAAAATAAACATTCCATCTCTATAATAAAAATTACTCCAAAATTGCTTTTACTAAAATAGCTGTATGTCGGTCCACAGCGAGCTGTGAACTTCAAAAAAATATTCTTTTATGTCACAACAGCATAGACATCAAAACAAAATAATATTTATAATTCAAATTAAGAATGACAGTAATCTTTAGCCTTTTTCTCGGTACAAATACACTTGAGAATGTCATCTTTCGAACGTAGTCGTTAATTATACAAAGTTCGTCAAAACAACAAACTTTGATGAAAAAAGAATATGTAAAAAAGAAACAAAGATTCCAAGATAGTTCAGTTACAACTTTGACAAAAAGAAGGAAAAGGCGAAGAATACGTCTCTATCGCACACGCTTAAGTCTGACTCTATTAGAAACTTCTTTCTGTCTTTGATCAATCAGTAGTGCTACTCATGCTTTAGATACTTTACCCGTAAATCGCTACATTGAAAAACTGTTTGCTATAGATCATGCCGACAAGGATTCATACTAAAAACAAAATAATTTTGTCATTAGCGGCTGTAGATAAAGAGTATACCAGAAACTACGGTAAAAACGGAGTATTGTCATATTAAATTTCACTCCATGATACGAATAAATACCATGATAAAAGTATGAAACGTTCATAGACGGATGAAAAAAAAACATTTGAAGTGTGAAACTACTTTTGATTGGTCACCCATTTTCGATTAAAAGTGTGAACACTTCACACTCTTACTTAGATAATTCGACCCTTTTACTGTAAAATAGCTAAACTTTTAATCTAGATCTATTCTAGCATTTCTTTCTTGCTAAACTTCAGTCAAATAAAGTTCTATGCAGATTATATTACGTTATTTTGAAATCTGTAATATAATTTCGATCTCAATAGATTTTTCTTAACATTCTAAGTGTTTAATGGGATCTAGTGCAATCACATTAACATAGCAAGGGATTCTTCTTTTCGTGAGTTTCAACAACAATGGAAAAGAAAGAACAAATGCTCAGTTTATTTTCAACAATGCGCGTATGTTCATCATTATCAACGACAACAAAACAATCAATATTCTTATTACAGAAAAACCTTTCTCAGAACGATCGCTTTATCATATCACCGACAGAAAAATAAAGTTCATTTAGAGTGGCGGAAAAGTACTTTTTCACAGCACACTTGATAACCCAGAAGATTTCCTATTTCTTGTGATAGGTGCTGCTAAAAGTTTAGGAAAAATTTTGAAACTAATATTATTTTCCCATGAAAGTTTGTCGTCAACTTTTTAGCTTGAAGACACGTTAAGTACAGTCACTAATAACCAATTTTTACATTTAATTCTCTTTAAATCTCATTATTTAATTTGGGATTACTTCAAACGCTATCGCCAGTGTTTTAACTGACAATTGAACTCATAGCGAAAACTTTTGATTTTGCTTGAAAATACAGTGGATTCAGTACAAGTTTTCATCCAGCAGACTTCAGAAGAGATTAGAGATATACAGGATTGCTCTTTATTGTTCCCTGACTTGTAAAAGTATCCGTTCCCTCGATCTGTCTTATCGTATGACTTCGATGCCCTTGTTCTACAAAATTTTCTCAAATTGTGTTTATTTTTCATTATGGTATGTAATTTATTCAATTTCCGCCATACACTCATGCACTACGGGTGCCCCCTCATTTTACAAAAAATAATCGACTTTTGATTTAAACATGCTATGTAATAGAGTCAAGTATCCTCTACAATTTGAGATTATTTACAGTCTCTGTGATCTTTTCTTGATGAGATATGAAATTTCTAAAAAAGTCTACGGCATGAAATTTCCAGTCAACTGAACATGATCCGGACCCGAAAGAAAGTTTCTCTGACCCGAACAGACCAAAAAATCGAAAAATTTTTTGAAACTTTTGAATTATGTAGTTATTATTTCAGTGTAAGCGCATTAACAGTCGTATGTGCGGCTCCGTGAGATATATCCTTTCACCTTTACGTAAAGAGACGTCTCCCAGCTTTAGGCCTAAAAAGTACTAATATGAACTATATATTTATTATTTTATATTTATTATTCATAAAACTTCAACATTTCAGGAATATTTCAAATAAAACAAGCTCATAGCTATGCAGAAGAACATCGCTCAACATCTGATAAATCACGTAAACTACATAATTCAAACCTGTGCAGCATCAGACTTAATTAGAATTAAATGCCGTTCACGGTATTTAAACGCTAATTCGTACTGGTCTTACATACGATTTTCACAGTTTTGCATCGAAGGACGTTTTTGTGATTGCAAGATTGGTAATAGAACTAATGGTAATTATGAAATTTGTTGGTAGAGCAGTTGGAAATAAGTATTTGTAAATCGAATATAGAACTGCTATGAATTCATAGCAGTTCTATATTCGATTTACAAATAACTATTGGTAACTTAGCACAACACTATCCGGGTTATTTTTAGACATTTTTTATGATATATTTTAGACATATTTATATGACAGTATCCAAGTCTCCAACCTTTACGACAGCACCGATGAAGAAGATAATGTAACTGACTCTTTAACTTAGCTGGTTTTTTCCTTTCAATTCTTTTACACCTGTGCATTAAGTGCAGTGTACTTCTTCGATACTTGAAAAGAAAAACAGTTTATGCACTCAGAAAATACTTCGTTTAAAGCGTTATAACAGGTGGGAGTCATACTATCTGGATAGTATTTCGAAAATTATTCTATATGGGCATATATCTGAAGAGCTTGTTTATGGCTCATTTTGTAGCACAAGAAATTCTCTATCTTCCTATATGTAAGAAGTTGGCAGTTGTGGGAAAGACTTGGCCAAGACGGATGCCGTTACTTACGACGGTAATGAAAAATTGTAAGATATTTCTCTCTGCAGTTTTTTTCGAAGTAGTTTTGGAAGATTAAATAGGTCCTGAAGTGAAGTGTGACGTATTTCTGATAATTCTAGACGATTTGGGCTCAACTTCATATTGAGCTATTTTCTTAGACGAACTGTTTCCCATCCTTTGACTATTATAAATATTTAAGAGTAGTATTATCTTGAACTGCTAGGAAAAGTCACGGAACATCGTTCGCAGATATAATTCCTAAAGTCAAGGATCAGAGGAAGTGAAAACGACCATCACCTTGTGATATATCCTGCTTCAATCGCGTTAAATATTCATATGTCCACGATAAAGAAAAGGTAACACGACCACTACAAGCACTTTGAATTTATCATATCGTACGATCCAAATGGCGGTGAGGGAAGGGTGAGCTTGACGCTCCAAGGTATAAAAATCGGCTTATCTATATAAAAGTACGTTATCACAAAAGTTTTCATGTTCCTCTTGTGCAATTTATGAGAGAAGTAATTACAGGTGGCGTCATTGTGACGGCGGAATTGTATCTGTAATTATTCCAGAATTAACATGTTTAAGAGTACACCACAATTTTTTTTGATAATTCTATTTTTATATGGACATTTTGGTTTTTATACGATGGAGCTTTAATTTCATCCTTCTCTCGATGTCACTCCGGTCACATGTTATATCAGTAATTCCAAACGTATAGAATTTTGTAGCTTGACGACATCAGCAGCGAGGAGACGTAAATGGCGTCTGCCAGATGTGATTAGAAATATGTAGAAACTATCTGCAAAGACAATTTTACTTTTCAGAAAGAACTCAGCACTAAAAAAAACTATGTTCTAAATTCTTCACTGGTTTGGCAGTGCTATAACAGTTGACTGGGGTCCTCTCTAAATGGAATTCTCTAACTACTCCTGAAAATTTATATGTTCAAAGAGTTCTGCACTTCTGATTCTTTGGTACTAATACAGTATTTTAATTTTTAGATGTCTCGTTCGATTCCATATCGTTTAGAATGTCCTGAAAAATGCATACAATCTCAAGAAGAAGCATTGAGTAGCACAATTTACATCCTTCGACAAACTGGCCCAACAGCATTTGTTATCAAAGATGAAGCGGATACTCAACGAACATATAAAGTAGCATAACGATAGTTAAAAATATTTTCTAATTTTATCTATAATTCGACTTTTATTTCTAAGGTGTTTCTCGGTGATCCGCATCAATGCTCGTGTCCATCATTTCAAAAAGATCATGAATTATGCAAACATTTGTGTTGGATATTACTCAAGCGTTTTCGAATACCAAGAACAAATTCAAGTACGAATTAGGTTCACTTTGTTTTCTCTTTTATAAATGGTGACAGATTTTTTATATTCAGTGTTATGGCAAAAATCGTTAGTTGAACGTGAGATCAATGAAATATTACGTGGATTAGTTAAAGAAGAGGAAGAACAACGAAGAAAATTAGTCACAAATATAAAACAAAAAGTACTTATCAAAGTTATCTTCACAAAGTGAAAGCAATAGCAATTTGTTCAAAAGAGATATTTTTGTTTTGTTAATGGATTGTACTGTTCTGCTTTAGGATGATCAATCAACAGATAGTGAAGTTGAACAACGACCAATCAGTGATCATGATGTTTGTCCAATATGTCAAGAAGAATTTTTAACAAAAAAATTACCAATTACATATTGCAGGTACATTTTTGTCATAATGTGTTTGCCTTTGAGAGTTAAATATACTGTCACTCTAGGCATGGTTGTGGCAATAATGTTCATGTTAAATGTATGAAAGTTTGGCTTGATCATCAATTGACAACCGGTGAAAAAGTTGTAAAATGTCCTTTATGTCGAGAAATGTTTGGAAATCCTGATTTATTAAAACAAGAATTTCGAACAAGTGGTGCTCAACAAGCCGAGAAAGGATCAATACATTTGGGTTATTCGTGTCATCGTTGTCGAGCTTGCCCTATCTCAGGAAAATGTTATAAATGTAAGCGATAAAAGTATATGCTTTTTTCAGTGTCTCTAATACTCATTAGTTCTTCATTTAGGTAATACATGTCAAGACTGTTTTCTTTGTCAAACGTGTTTCAATTTGAATATTCATAATGAGCATAGTTTTGATTATCGAGAGGTAATTTATGAAATATTTTCTTCTGCTATATTAACTACATCACATTATTATATTTTTTGATGTAGAAATCATTTCAACGTTGGAAAAATGCTTCTCGGGATCATTTAACAGCATTACCAAATGCTGTTCATCAATTATTAGTTAATCGTGATATTACTGATAATGACTATGATCTCTTACTTCAGCTAGAAAAGTATATAATGTTCCAAACACTATAAACTTTATATTTAAAAATTTTATTTCTCTTTTGTTTCAAAGTGCTCAAAATGCAACTGTGATGGGTATACCAGAAAAAGTTGTTAAATCTTTTCCAACCGAACGTGTACATGATACAAGTCGATTATTACAACGTGGTGAACAATGTCGATTGTGTTTAAGATCCTATCAAGTGGGTGAACGTGTGCGAAGATTACCGTCGTGTAAACATAAATTCCATATTGAATGTATCGACGGTTGGTTATTGCATAGTCATCCAACGTGTCCCATTGATGGACAACTTGTATGGAGTTTAGAAATGGAATTAGAACAACGAGAAGTAAAAAGGTAGGAATTATTATTTTATAGACCGCATACAAAAAAATGCTAAAAAAACAGCACGGATTTTCATCGTTATTCCTAGATCAGCAACAAGTAGTAATAATCAAAAACAAACGTCTACATCAACTGTAAACAATAATCAAACGAAAGCGCATTCAAATGGAAATCAGTTATTATCTGTTGATCTTGGTTTATCTGTTACGCCTTATCAAATTCGTGCTACAACAAACAATAACAATGAGCTTGATCGTTTATTTTTACTTCCACCATCGAATCGTCGACTACATCCTCATCATTTGCGTGCACCACTTCGTCCATTAATACAGACAGCTACCAATGATTTGTTACAGCCTCCGTTACAAATTAATGTTCAAAGTTTATTACCTACCACTGTATTAAAACGTCAAAATGATTTAGATTGTTTTCTCGATGCTAGTGAAAATCGTTTTCCTCCAAGATTACTTTCATTCGTCTCACCAGCATGTACACCACCAAGATCAAGACGAGATACTTTAACGGATAATGAAGATGATCAGCAACAACAACCACAAAATTTAATATTCTCATTACGTAAACGAGATGGTCATTCAGCACCACATAAAAATACAATCAATATTGAATTTGATCTTCCACCAAGAGTGCCACCTGCACAACGCTCAATGTTTAATCGAACACATTTACATGAAATGCATCAACGTGTACAAAGAAGATTAAATAATAAATAAATAAATAATGCATTTAGCTCTTTGTTTTATTTTTTTTTTGAAAAATTTTTCTTTACTTTGTCATACTAACACTTTTGTTTTTTTTTACACGATATTTTTTTAGAAGAAAAAAACGAGCTTAAAATGATATATTTATCTTCAGTAACTGTATGATTCCGTATCATATTTGACCTAACTTATATCTTCTTTATGAATACTTCTTATTTAAATCTTCGATCATTTACATTTCATGAGGCAATGATGACAACAGCAACAGGTTGACGACGTAATATAACAGGAAAAAAGTGTTTAACTCGTATAAATACTGATTCTATCACAAAAAAACTGAAAAGTACATTTGAACGAGAAACAATTGAAGTACCGTTAACCGATGATGATTTATTGTGTTAGACGATAGACAACATTAGTATAATTAAATAAAATGAGGATCGGCTTTGAATTCATCCTTTTACGCGGTAGACCAAAATAAAGAACAAAACTTCAATTTCACATTGTTCTTCGGGATGGCAGCAACCTCTAGTTGAATTTTTCAATTGACATACCTATTTCAAAACAGCTACATCCTTAGATCTCATTGATTGCTCCTTCTTCTGAATGTGAGAGAGATCTCTCCTATCGAAATCAACATCTTTACATTCTATATTGCTTTTTCTCCGATATTTTTTCATCTATTGCTTTAGAGATTTATACACAGGCAACTTTACTCTAGGAACCTCTACGGTCGAGTTCAGATTACGTTTTTGTTAACGTAACTAGAACTCTGTTCTGCGGTACATGATGCTAGATTATTTTTATATAATATACGAAGTTTAATGAATATTACTCTTCAAAATCAGACACGGTTTGATTACAGAGAATAATTAGGGCAGAAGACATTTCTTTTGCATTGTTTTGTTTTCTAGTAGCAATTGTTCCATATGATCAGAATGAGATATCATTCATTAACCAGAGATGCTCTAATACTCAAACGTTAATGCGCAAATATCCACACGCTGTGTAACGACACTCATCAACAAAGTAATGAAAATTACTTAATCTATGTCCTGTGCTTAACGAGATAACCGAGATATTTGAGATATTTGTTCAGTATGCGTAATCGGCGTATTGAGATATTTGAGATATTTGCTCAATATGCGTAATCCGCGTATTGAGATATTTGGTCTGTCTGAGGTATTTGAGATATTTAGTGTATGTGAGATTTTAAAGATATTTGCTATATGTGAGAGTTTTGAGGTATATGATACGTGCAGGTGCATGAAGGTTTGATAGCTTAGAATAGCTGTGGGTGGTGAAGGGTGACTGGCAGCATGAGAGTGAGTAGCGAAAAAGTATTAGATGATTACCCAGATTTGAGAAGTTGGAAGTGTATTAGTAGGAATGAATCTATATCCATCGTGCAGACCAGGACGCTGTGACAGTGGGGCTACAGGGTTCTATCCGCTTCCTTGTTTTCTAGATATTTTACTATGATATTCGCATAGTTTTTGCTGTGGAATTGAGTTCAAGAATCAGCACTATCTGGGGTATCTCGATAAACATAACCGCATGTGGAAACGAAGTCGGAAACCCTCAGTGCTCTGCTTTAACGCTACATGACGAGAAACGGTATAAATAATTTCGGTCTGAGAGTAAACATCAACAACCAGCTACTTCCATCTCCATACGTGGACCACGCATACTGAGCAAATATCTCAAGTATGTCAAAAATCTCAGATACACTAAATATCTCGATACGCGGATCACGCATACTGAGTAAATATGTCAAATATCCATAGCTTGCAAAATACACATTCGCCGAGAATTTTATTTTTTAAAAGTGAATTCGCATTCGTTGGGAATTCATTACAATGCGTATTAGTGTATATGATGCGTTTGCGAATTCTCGGTTATTTTCTGACAAGTTTAGGTCACCATCTAGGTCAAGTAACGATCGATTGCGAATTCTGTATTATTTTGTGACAAGTTTGGGTCATTGGCGCTCTGTGACTATTGGTAGCCTTGGAGACGGATGGACTATGGATAATCGATCATACTGAGTCTTGTGGCAATATTTTTTTTGAGAAAAAGTTTTAAAAATCTATCAAAAAGCGAGTTTTACGAAAATTAAGGTTTTCGGACGGTTTTCGCCTAATATTAACACTGAAAATGTTACGTGTCTTTTACATCTCTTCCGGTCCCATAATCACGTTTAGCGGACAACATTAATCGTATCCTGAAGTTTTTAAGTCGTTCTGATACGTTTTGAATGAATAGTGAATTTGTTAATATTAGGGGAAAACAGTCTGAAAACCTTAATTTTCGTAAAACTCGCTTTTCGATAGATTTTTAAAACTTTTTCTCAAAAAAAATATTGCCACGTGACTCAGCATGATCGATTATTCATAGTCCATCCGTCTCCAAGGCTGCCAATAGTCACAGAGTGCCGATCCTGAGTTCGTAGGAAACGCGATTCAACGCCCGGACGGCGGGCAAAAACATTTTTCTGCTGGAAAAATTTTGGTTATGAGAACATACCTTCAAGTCTCCTCTTTCGAGCGGTGTTTTTAGTGGACTTTTTATCTCTTTTCGTTCTGGAGTTATTTAGAAAATAGCCACGGCCATTATTTTATTGG